ATATGTTTAGGATTGTTAGCTCTTCTTGTTGTATCTATCCTTTTACCATTATTTAATGACCTTCTTTGTCTCTTTGATCTTTGTTGCTTTAAAGTCTATTTTATCAGAGATGAGAATTGCAACTCCTGCTTTTTTTTGCTCTCCATTTGCTTCGTAAATCTTCCTCCATCCCTGAGCAGTTAGTTTTTAATACGCTAGGCATTTTAGGAACCATTTAAGATACTGAAGTTGGAATGTGCCAGGACTAAAGATGTACCCAAAGAAGAATAATTTGGTAGTGAAGCTAGCAGTACTTAACAGAAGGGGGCAGAAACACCCACAGAAGTTGGTTATAATATTATAAGGAAGTAGGCAGGGCCAGTGGTTCATGTCTGTAATCTGAACTCTTTAAGCCGAGGAGGAAGGATCAGTTGAGGGCCAGGGGTTAGAGACCAGCCTGATAAGCAAAGCAAAACCCTGTCTCTACAAAAATAAAAAAATTAGCTGGGCACAGTGGTGTGCACCTGTAGTCCCAGCTACTCAGGAGGCTGAGGCAGGGGAATCACTTGAGCCTAGAAGCTGGAGGCTGCAGGGAGCTATGATAGCCCCACTGCACTCCAGCCTGGATGACAGGGTGAGACCCTGCTTCTTAAAAATATTTATGTATAGGCTGGGCACGGTGACTCAAGCCTGTAATCCCAGCAATTTGGGAGGCCAAGGCGTGTGGATCATGATGTTAAGAGATCGAGACCATCCTGGTCAACATGGTGAAACCCCGTCTCTACTAAAAATACAAAAAATTAGCTGGGCATGGTGGTGCGTACCTATAATCCCAGCTACTCAGGAGGCAGAAGCAGGAGAATTGCCTGAACCCAGGAGGCGGAGGTTGCGGTGAGACAAGATCGCGCCATTGCACTCCAGCCTGGGTAACAAGAGTGAAACTCTGTCTCAAAAAAAAAAAAAAAAAAAAAAAGATTTATGTGTATATATAAGAGAGAACAACACAATGACTTGGAAAAGTGGGGGCAGTGGACAGAAAGGAATATGAGCCTAGCATAATTAGTAGGGCTTTGAGGGGTGATAATGAGAGAATAGGGAGGATGCCTTGGTGACTGGGCAGATAACGATGCCTTTTTTTTATGAATCGAGCGTCCTGAAGATGGACTTTATAGAGGTCATGATTTTACATCACCTGTTGCCCTACCCCTATGTGTTTACTGTTCTCATTTTGCTTGTCCTCTTCCAGTCTCGTCCTTAAGTGCATATAAGTTATACACTTAAAGTCCTGATCCTTTTTATTTATTTTCCAACCTTGATGTCATATAAGTGTTTTGAGAGCTAGCTGCATTAGATAAGCTGCCAAGGTTTGGCTTTTTGTGCTCTCGGATGCCTACAGAGCTTCATGGTAGAATTAGATGTTTGAATGACCTAGAAATGTTAGGAACTAAATGAGCCTGTTTCTACTAAAAATTTTAATGTTTTGTTCATCATGGCTACTTTTCCATTAATTTTAATTTTTAAAGGTACTTATTCATTATCTTAATTACTTAGTTTTTTTGGCACCCCCTTCAATTTTTGCACCCAAAAGTTTGCCTCACTTATTTTTGTCTGGGCTTTTTTTTTGTTTTCAAGTGACTAGAATCAGGAAAGGAGGAACACATGGACAAAAAGAGAGGGCTGAGATGGGAACCCTGAGGAATAATATTTATTTAGAGTGAAGAGAGGAAAGGATTCAGTGGGAAGTGAGAATGGGTCTTTCAGGGAGCCAAGTTGGGTGTTGAATCAGGAAGGAGACCTTTGAGACAAGTTGGGAGGAAGGCAGAATTTTGGGAAGGAAGCGTGGTGGTCATTAATGGTAATGCTTCAGAAAAGCTGAGAAGGGAAGAATAAAGATTGAAGAGAGGTAGTGAATATTTTGGTGATAAGATTGTCATCCATTGCTTTGAAGAGAGCAAAAGTTCCTAAAAAGATTTACCATTTTAATCTGGAGGCTAACGTAAATATGAGCAAATTGATAAGAACTGAAGGCTAGGTTTTTTAAAAGAGTATCAAAGGAGGGGATTGGTGTGATATGAACAGACAAAGCAGGCCTTTCTAGTATTATCCAACACTATTAAAATGAATAAATATTAGTTTCTATGGGAAAGGGAGTTATTTACCATTTTATTTTTAATAAACCTGTATGTCCTGGCTGGAGTATTACGAAGATTTCACATTTCTTTGTTTTTTTGGTTGTTTGTTTTAGACAGAGTCTTTCTCTGTTTTCTAAGTTGAAGTTTAGTTGCATGACCACTGTAGCCTTGAACTTCTGGGCTCAAGCGATCCTCCCACCTCCGCCTTCTGAGTGACTGGGACTAAGGGTGTGTGCCACCACGTCCAGCTAATTAAAAAAATTTTTTTGTAGAGACAAGTTCTTGCTATGTTGCCCAGGCTAGCCTGTAACCTGGCCTCAAGTGTTCTTCTGACTTGCCTCCCAAAGTGCTGGGGTTACTGGTGAGAGCCACTGGCACCCAGTCCATTATTAAGAAATTTTTGAAATTCATATGACTTTCACAATTTATATGTACAGTACAGACCAAAGTGTGGTCTAACCCGCATAGATAATTGGAAATCTTGTAAAATATATAAGCCAGCATCATATATTTATATCCCATTTTGGAATATATGCTTTTTATATCATACATGTGAAGTTTATGATTGATTTGAGGATTATCATATCCTACACTTGAATTTCTCCATAGGTATTACTGTTCTAAACATTGCCATTCAAATAGTTCCTGATATTAATCAACTTCCTTTAAAAATTTTGCTACTGTTTAGTGATATATTTTCTGCTTAATCTTATTCTGAATATGGCTGTTTCAGAATGTTCACTTTTATATTTCCATGCTCAGAGTCTTATGAGTGCGGGCTTTTATAATAATCGTGGGCATTCATATGTGGTGCCATCTTAGCCTTCTACTTTTCTCTATATATACCCACTTATATTTGAAATCTTACTAATCATGGTTCCTGTGTATATGGTTCTCCCACCTTAAGGAGGATGGCTACCAAAGGTATATCTCTCTCTCAATTTCTGAGCTCCCATATTATTTCAGCAGACATTTATTTATTGTTTGCTTTGTGCCGGGCCCTGTGGCTGGCCCTGATGAGGAAAACAGATAAGATCCCTACCCACATTAGTGCTTACATGACCTCTTTTGAACTTCTTCTGTGTCATGTCTGTCAATCACTTCTATAGTAACCCCCACCTAAATTTTCTATTAACAGCTGTCTAAAATGGAACTTAACCTTTTCTTCAAACCAGTTCTCTTTGTGGAATTTTCAACTTTCAAAAAACTTGATCATTTTCTGCTACCTAGGATAAAAGCCATGGAATTTTCTTCATTCACTTCTAAGTCAGGCATTTACCATATTCTCTCAATTCTTCCTTTGTGGTGAATTATTTTTCCCCTCATTGCCTCAACAAATTATGTATGGACTAACACAGTAGTCTGCTGCTTGCCCTTCTATATGCTGTTGCCACATTAATTCTTTTAAATATATAAATTTTCACATATTTCCACATTGCTCAGAATTGTTGCTTATCTATTTGGTAGACAGAATGAGATAAAAATTAGGACTATTCTCTTACCCCTTCTCTCATATCCTTTGCATCAGCAGCATTCATCTGTTTTTGTTTGTTTGTTTGTTTTTTAACATTCCAAACTCTTGCTTTTTCTTAAGCATTTTTCCCCATCTGATATCCTCTGTGGTTTCTTCTGTTTACCTTTCTGAGTTCATCTCAGCTGAAGTCTTATTTTATAAAGCCTTCCTCACCAGGGCCACTTTTGCTCCTTTTGTAACTATTGTTACACATATACTTCTGGTTTGGCATTTGTATACAGTATATTCAGCAGGTTCTGTGCCACATATACGCACACACACACACACACACACACACAGACACACGTACATATTTAATATACATAATATATAAAAATATATATCAGTTCTCTGTAGAATTTCCAACTTTACAACATATTTATATAATGTATATTAAATATATATTTAAAACAGTAGATATATAAATATGTTGTAAAGTTGGAAATTCTACAGAGAACTGATTTGAAGGAAAAGGTGTTTTAAGCAGCTGTGTGTGTGCGTGTGTGTGTAGTGTGTGTGTCTGTGTGTCTGTGTGTGTATATATTAGCCTGTGTTCTCTCTCCCAGTTATTTTGTTGAACTACTTTAAAGTCAGGCCTGACTGAGCACAGAGTAGGAACACTTGATAAAGATTAAAAAGGCAGTGCCCACTAGAAAGCTATTGTCAAAGATTTGTTGCTTTTTTTTAGTTAGAGATCTTACTAGTTTTACATTAAATGTATGTCATATAGTTCCTTTGTCTTTCTCAATAACATGACAGTAGTTAACAGTGTTAACTTCTTCCTGCATAGAAGGCTATATATTGTTTTATGTATTTTATTTCTGTGCTTTGTTTTAATTTATAAATTGTTACTTTTTCTGTTCTCTACTTTTTACTTAATCCATATTACTTCCTCTTACGATTTAAAAATCTAATTAAGTTGAGGCCATAGTATTTAATGCAAGTAGTAAATCTGCAGAAAAAGTACATTACACTGTGAATGAGGAACATACAGGCTGTAGACCACTGCTGCAATTTATAATTTCTTGGAGAAGACCCTTAAAGAGGTTAGGCCTCAATTACTGAAACCATAAAGATTTTAAGTAAGTGATCTTTTAAAATTCCTTTCTAATTTTAAATTTCTGTCATATTCACCTGCCGCTACTTAAGTAGTTACCTCTGTTCTTTTTTTTTATGCTGGAAGCCAGACTCTTGTATTAACAGAGTTTTCTCGTCATGTTTTCCTTTTAGATTCTAGTTTAGGACTAGTCATTACAGCTTTGTTTGGCATTTGCTCAGTTCTGGATCTAGTGTTGTTTTCACAACAAGCATTCATTAATCATTGAAGAGGAAAAATTAACCTACTTGTGATTTACTTGCCTTTTTCTTTTTTAAAGGTATTTTCAAAAGAAATAATTCCCGATTGATGGATGAAATTTTAAAACAACAACAAGAACTTCTGGGCCTAGATTGTTCAAAATATTCACCAGAGTTTGCAAATAGTAATGACAAAGATGATCAAGGTAAGCATGAGCGTATAAATGAGGATGTAACATATAAGATGTGTGTTTTGTGTTTCATGGCAATTTCTGTCACCAGGCACATTTTTTAACCGGTTCCACAGAGAATCCATAGAATGGACACATTTGTAGGGATATTGAAATGAATATATAACTAGAGGTACAACTGGTTGTTCTATGGGGTTAGGAAAGAAATTGAACCTTTACTAGACAAGAAAGAATTTGTGTGTCTATAGATAAGAATTGTGCAGTGTTATCCAAGAATCCTATCAGTTGTAAAATAGCTCCTATGGAAGCAGAATTGATAAAGGTGTGTATGCTGTAGGCAGTGCATATTCCATTGTAACAGTTTTTCCTTACGGTTTTTATTTTTTCTTTTATTCTGTGTTAACTGCTAACTGTATCACAATTCTAGGTAAATTTTAGAGTGTGAAAATTTGTTAGCTAGCTCAAAGTTTCTGTTTTCTAGAGGATGTAGTCACAATACATAGCCATTCTGAACACTTTGAAAAGAAGGCAGTGTATGAATATATACATGGATGTGATTTGGGGTACATGAGGCCTTTCAGAGGAGAGTAGCTAAGTATGTTTTGTTATTGAAATAGAAGACCTTAAAGAACTGTATGTTTATTTTGCTCTAAACTTAATATTTCTTAAAACCACTTTTGAAATATACCTGTAAGATTGTGTTTTTACACTACATTGTTTGTTTTTTCCTCCAGTTTTAAATTGCCATTTGGCAGTGAAGGTGCTGTCCGCGGAAGATGGAAAAGCAGATATTGTGAGAGCTGCTCAGGACTTTTGCCAGTTAGTAGCCCAGAAACAAAAGAGACCCACAGATTTGGATGTAGATATGTTAGGCAGTTTACTTAGTAAGTTTTTTATGTGTGTGTGTGTGTGTGTGTGTGTGTGTGTTTTAGTTTTGTCACACAAGGATACAGTATGAAAAACATTTACATTTCTTTCACTCTATAAAGCCTAATTCTTTTTGGTGTTATACCTGTTATAATTCTGCAATTTAAAGACCCTTGTGAAAATGATTTCAAGACAATGAGATTTGTAGCCACTCACTTGCATGAGGATTTAATGGTAAAGGGAAGGACCTTTGAGGATCTTTTTTGCAGGGATGTATATTCTTGAAAATAGGACTCTGCTTGCAGCCTTCCTCTTCTTCTTTCTTTTTAGTTTGAACTTTCCCTTAACTTTGAACTTAATATCTTTGTATGAGGTAATCCCAGGAATATAGTCTTACTGTTACCCATGATTCCTTTTTCATGATTCTTTCTGTTATGCTATACCAAATATACAACTGTATTTGTCATATTATACTAAATATAACATTTTTTCTTCAGCTATTTAAAAAAGCCTTTGGTTTGCTTGTTCTCTCTAGAGAATTCCTTCTAGAACCTTTTTGCCTTAATTTCATGGTTCTTCTTGCTTACTAGCATTAGCCTTGATCCTTCTGAAAGACAATCTTCGTAATAAATTCATGTTCATTAATAGCTTCTATAGTCATACAGTTTTAGACATTCATTTTTTTTTTTATTACTTACGGTATCCATTTACTTATTAGTTATGTGTTTTCAGGTTGGGTGGGTTGATTCACATTTGTAATCCCAGCACTTTAGGAGGCTGAGGCAGGTGGATCACTTGAGCGCAGGAGTTTGAGACCAACCTGGGCAACATACCAAAATTCTCTCCCTACGAAAAAATTAAAAATTGGCCAGGCAAGGTGGCTCACACCTGTGGTCCCAGCTACTTAGGAGGCTGAAGAAGGAGTATAGTTTGAGTTCGAGAGGCAGAAGTTGCAGTGAGCCAAGATTGCGTCACTGCACTACAGCCTGGGTAACAGAGTGAGACCCTGTCTCAAAAAAAAAAAAAAAGAAAAAGAAATGCATTTTCTGTGTAACTTACTTACTAACTGTCCATTCTTTGTTTTTTTCCACTTTGATATGTATTTGTCACAGAGTGAAGTCAATCTCCTGCCTCTTGGTTTTGCCAACTTCCTACTTTTGTTGACTACTTGCTTCTTACCCTACTCTTATGTTCTGTACTCTGTCATCTGTCATTGCCTCACTATATTCAGGCTCTACTCCTATTGAGTAATCATTGTGAGGGCTCTCTTCTCAGAGGTTACTGGGATGTTGACTGTTTCCTATACCCTATGATGCCCCAGTGAGAGAGTAATTTTATAAGGACATTCTAAAAGTTGATGGAGATCCAAAGATGACCTTCAGGTAGTCCATGAGAAGCATTAATGTTTATTAAGCGCCCATGTTACCTGCAGGGATTCTAGGATTGTGATAAACGAAAATGTACACAATTCTTAACTCATTAGTTTGACAGAAATGAGCACTCTGAATACCATCACCTCCAAAGTTCTCCTGTGACTGCATTTAGTCCCCATTCCTGCCCCCTAAACCAACAACCACTGGTCTGGTTTCTGACTATATTTTTGCTTTTTCTATAAATTTTATGTAAAAGGAATCATACTATAGTGTTTTATGTCTTGCTTTGTTTACTTCCCATAATATTTTTGAAGTTCATCTATGTAAAATGGTTAGTCATTCATTATGTTTTATTGGTGAGTAGTAGTTTCTGGATATACCACATTTTGCTTATGCATTCATCAGTTAATACACATTTGGTTTGTTTCTGGTTTTTGAATAATGCTGTATGACCATTGGTATACAAGTTTTTGTGTCGACATTTTTCTTTTTTTTGAACAGACTCTTAGTAGTAGAATTGCTATATTATATGGTGAATGAGTGCTTCACTTTTAAAGAAATTGCCAAGCTTTTTTTTCCCAAATAGGCTGTACATTTAACATCGCTACCAGCAATATTGAGAGTACTAGTTTCTCCACATTCCTGCCAAGACATGATATTGTCAGCTTGGTTTATTAAAATTTTAGCCATTCTACAGTGGGTACAGCAGGCCTTGGGTGAGATCTAGTGCTATGCTGGCTTCAGGTCTGATTCAGCTTGGTCCCAGTGATGGTGGCCATGGGGTGCTTGTGTCACCCCACCTCCAGCTCCAGGTGACTTAGCACAGAGAGAGATACTCTGTTTTGTTAGGAATAAATAAGGGAAGAGAACAGAAGTCTCTGCCTGGTAATTTTTCCGATCTTACCCAAGACAACCAAGGCAGTACCTCTGTGAGTTTGCAAGAAGCAGTGTTACTGGGTTTGTGGTGCCTCCTGATACTTAGATATAGCTTGGGTCACATCATCCAAGTCCCTTAAATACCTGGAAAGCCTCCCAAGAAGGATGGGTACAAATGAGCCCAGACTGTGAAACTATAATAAATACCTAAGTCTTCAGTGTCCAGACACCTAGGACCAACCACAATCATTAAGACAATCCAGGAAAACATAACCTCCCCAAGTGAACTAAATAACACATCAGAAACTAATCCTGGGGAAGCAGAGATATGTGACTTACAGATAATTCAAAATAAATATTTTGAGGAAATGTAAAGAAATTCAAAATAATACAGAGAAGAAAGTCAGAATTCTATCAGATAATTTAACAAAGAGCCAGACACGGTGGCTCACATATGTAATCCCAGCACTTTGGGAGGCTGAGGCGGGCGGATCATGAGGTCAGGAGATCAAGACCATGCTGGCTAACACATTGAAACCCCATCTCTACTAAAAATACAAAAAACATAGCTGGGCATGGTGGCATGCACCAGTAATTTCAGCTACTCGGGAGGCTGAGGCAGGAGAAGTGCTTGAACCCAGGAGGTGGAGGTTGGAGTGAGCCGAGATCGTGCGACTCCAACTTTGACAACAGAGCGAGTCTCAAGAAAAAAAATTTAACAAAGAGATTCAAATAATTAAAATGAACGAAGCAGAAATTCTGCAGTTGAAAATGCAGTTGACATACTGAAAATGCATGAGTCTCTTAATTGCAGAATTGATCAAGCAGAAGAAAGTTATAAGCTTGAAGACAAGCTACTTACAGATACACAGGAGAGACAGAAAAGAATGAAGCATGCACACCTACAAAATCTAGGAAATAGCCTCTTGAGGGCAAATCTAAGTTATTGATCTTAAATAGGAAATAGAGAGAGAGAGATGGGGGTACAAAGTTTTTTCAAACCTAGAGAACTTCCCAAACCTAGAGAAAAATAACAGCATTTAACTACAAGAAGATTATAGAACACCAACCAGATTTAACCAAAAGGTGACTACTTCAAGGCATTTAATAATCAAACTCCCAGAGGTCAAGGATTTAAAAAAAAATGGATCCTAAAAGCAAAAAGAGAAGAAAATCAACATACAATATAGGTCCATTATATTTGGCAGCAGACTTTTCAGTAGAAACCTTACAGGCTAGAGGAGAGTGGCATGACATTAAAAAAAGTGCTGGAATAATAGTATGCTCAGTGAAATTATCCTTCAAACCTGAAGAAGAAATAGACTTTCCCAGACAAACAAAAGTTAAGAGATTTAATCAACCCCACACCTGCCCTGCAAGAAATGCTAAAGGGAACACTTCTAATCAGAAAGCAAAAGATGTTAATGAGCAATAAATCATCTGAAGGTATAATTCTCACTAGTAATAGTAAATACGCAGACTGTTAGAGTCCTGTAACTGTGATGTGTAAACTACTGTCAAGTAAAAAGATTAAAAGATGACTCAGCCAATAATAACTACAACAGCTTTTGAAAACATAGACAATACAATAAGATGTAAATAATAACAGAGTTTTTAAATGGGGAGATGAATGTAAAGTGCAGTTTTTATTTTTGCTTATTTGTTTATGCAAGCAGTGTTAACTTGTTATCAGCTTAAAATAATGGGTTATGAGATAATATTTGCAAGCCTCATGGTAACTTCCAATCAAAAAACAAGATACATAAAAAATAGAAAGCAAGAAATTAACTCATACCACTAGAGAAAGTTACCTTCCCTAAAAGGGGAACAGGAAGGAGGTAAAGGAGAAAGAGAAGACCACAAACAACCAGAAAACAAATAACAAAATGGCAGGAGTAAGTCCTTATTAGTAATAACATTGAATGTAAATAGACTAAACTCTTCAGTCAGTGGCCTGATGGATAAAAAGCAAGACCCAATGATCTGTTCCCTACAAGAAACACACTTCACCTATAAAGACACACAGAGACTTAAAGGAATGGAGAAAGATATTTTATGCCAATGGAAACCCAAAAAGGTCAGAAGTTACTATACTTATGTCAAGACAAAAACTCTACGAAGAGACAAAGAAGTTCACTATCTAATGATAAAGGGATCAGTTCAGCAAGAGGATATAACAATTGTAAATACATATGTACCCAACACTAGAGAACCCAGATATATAAACCAAATATTAATAGAGCTAAAGAGAAATAGAGCCCAATACAATAATAGCTGGAGACTTCAACACCCCACTTCAACATTGGACAGATCTAGACAGAAAATCAACAAAGAAACATTGAATTTAACCTGCACTGTAGACCAAAGGGAGTTAATAGATATTTACGAAACATTTTATCCAGTGGCTGCAGAAAATACATTCTCCTCATCAGCACATGAAAGATTCTCAAGGAGAGACCAAATGTTAGGCCACAAAGCAAGTCTAAAACATTCACAGAAATTGAAATAATATCAAGCATCTTCTCTGACCACAATGGAATAAAACTAGAAATCAGTAATGAGGAATGTTGCAAACTATACAGACACATTGAAACTAATCAGTATGCTGCTGGATTACACATGGGTCAATGAAGAAATTAAAAAATTTCTTGAAACAAGGTAATGAAAATACAACATACCACAACCTCTGGGATACAGAGGTTTATTTGTAGTTTATAGCTATAAATGCCTACATCAGTAAAGAAAAGAAACAAACAACCTAAGGGTGCAACATGAAGAACTAGAAAAGCAAGAGCAAATCAAGTTAGTAGAAGAAAAGAAATAATAAAGATCAAAGCAGAAATAAATGAATTTGAAATGTTAACATATACAAAAGATCAAAACAGAAATTTGGTGTTTTAGATAAGATAAACAAAATTGAGAAACTGTTAGTCAGACCATGAAAAAAAACCCAGAAGACCCAAATAAATAAACTCAGAGGTGGAGAGGAGATATTGTAACTGGTACTGCAGAAATTCAAAGGATCATTAGTGGCTACTGTAAGCAACTGTATGCCAATAAGTTGGAAACCTAGAAGAAATAAATTCCTAGACACATACAACTCACCAAGATTGAACCATGAAGAAATTCAAATCCTGAAGAGACCAGTAATAAGTAACAAGATTGAAGCTAAAGTAATAAAAAGTCTTAGAGCAATGAAAAGCTCAAGACTTGATGGGTTCATTGCTGGATTCTACCAAATATGTAAAGAAGAACTAATACCAGTTCTACTAAACTATTCTGCACAATAGAAAGGACAGAAGGGTTATAGATTCATTCTATGAAGCCAGTATTACCATGTTACTAAACCAGGCAAAGACACATTAAAAAAAAAAAAACTACAAGCCAATATCACTGATAAATGTTCATGAAGAAATCCTCGACAAAATAAAGGCAAGCCAAATTTAACAATATATTAAAAAGATCATGACCAAGTGAGATTTATCCCAGGGATGCAAGGATGGTTGAAAATACACAAATAAATGAATGTGATATATCATATTGATAGTATGAAAGTTAAAAGTCATGATCATTTCAGTTGATACTGAAAATCATTTGATAACATTAAACACTTTTATAGTTTAAAAAACCCTTAAAAAACTGTGTATAGAAGGAAATACTACAACATAACAAAAGCCATATATGACGGATCCATAGCTATTACTCTGAATGGGGAAAAACTGAAAGCCTTTCCTCTAAGATCTGGAACACAACCACGTCCACTTTCACCACTGTTATTCAGCATAGTATAGGAGGTCCTAGCTAGAGCAATCATACCAGAGAAAGAAGGAAAAGGGATTCAGATTGGAAAGGAAGAAGTCCAGTATTCTTGTTTGCAAATGATATCTCAAATCTGGAGAAACCTAAAGATTCCACCAAACGACTATTAGAACAAGTAAACACATTCAGTAAAGTTGCAGTATACAAAACCAACATACAAAAATCAGTAGTATTTCTACATGTCAACAGTGAACAATCTGTCCCATTTACAATAGGTGCAAGTAAAATTACATATCTAGGAATTAACCAAAGAAGTGAAAGATCTCTGCAATGAATACTATAAAACATTGATGAAAGAAATTAAGGAGGATACTAAAAAAAAGGTTACTTCCTGTTCATGGATTGGAAGAAGAAATCAATATTGTTAAAATGTTCATACTCCTCAAAGCCATCTGTGGTCAATGCAGTTCCTGTGTAAATATCAATGATGTTCTTCACAGAAATAGAAAAAAAATCCTAAAATTCATATGGAACCACAAAAAGACCCAGAATAGCCAAAGTAAAAAAGAACAAAACTGGAGGAATCACATTACCTGATTTCCAGTAGTTACCAAAACAGCATGGTACTGGCATAAAAACACACAAACTAAAGAAACAGAATAGAGAATCCAGAAACAAATACATCTCTAGTGAACTCATTTTTGACAAAGGTGCCAAGAACATACAATGGGGAAAACTATTATCTTTAATAAATACTGCAGAGAAAACTGGATATCCATATGCAAAAGAATGAAGTTAGAACTCTGTCTCTTTGATATATAAAAATCATATCAGAATACATTGAAGGCTTTAAGACCTCAAACTAAGAAACTACTACAAGAAAACACTGGGGAAGCTCTCTAGGACATTGAACTAGGCTAAGGTTTCTTGATTAATACCCTGCAAGCACAGGCAACCAAAGCAAAAGTGAACAAATGGGATCACATCAAGTTAAACAGCTCTTTCACAGCAAAGGAAACAGTCAGAAAGTGAAGAGAAGACAGAGAATGGAAGAAATTGTTTGCAAACTACCCATCTGACTAGGGATTAATAACCAGAATATGTAAAAAGCTCAAGCAACTCTATAGGGAAAAAATCTAATAATCTGATTTTTAAAATGGGCAAAAGATCTGAATAGATACTACTCAAAAGATAGAAAATGGATATATGTTTATGCAGAGATGGCTCAATATTATTGATCATTGGAGAAATGCAAATGCAAATCAGACCTACGTGAAATGGCTTTTTTTTAAATGACAGGTAATAACAAATGCTAATGAGGATGTGGAGAAAGGAAATTCTTTGTACCCTGTTGGTGGGACTGTAAATTGGTACAACCAGTATGGAGAACAGGTTAGAGTTTTCTCAAACAACTAAACATTGAGCTACCATATGATCTAGTAATCCCACTCACTTTATGACAAGCCTGAACAGTGTCTCTTTCTTGTTATCCTTACCTATAAAATGAGAAGGTAGGACCAGATGATTTAGAGTTCTTTCCAACTCTAACATGCTACCTGTTCTGTTTTTGTTACTTTGTTCCTCCTGCCCCCAAGCTTAAAGGACACCTTCATATACTCTGGAGAGATACTCTGTATTCTCATAGGTTCAGCTACTTCCTAGGTTATGATGATCCCCATATATACCCTTAAGCTTTTTTTTCCCCAACTCAGGTCTCATATGGAAACCACTTCATGAAATATAAAACTTGACCTTGCTCTTCCTTGCTAAGGCCAGATGCTTGGTCTTCTTTTCCTCTCTGAGGCTGCTCAGGCTCTGGGGAACAATGAAGATGTTTGTAGTATATAGCTAGGAGTTGGTCTTTTTGGGTTCATAGCTGTAAAATAAGGTGCATGAGGGAAGGAAAGAGAATATATACTTTCAAAACTTCCCTTTCATCTCTTAAGTTATTCAATTTTGTGGCTAGAATTAAGCAGTGATGCCCTTAGACGAATAGTACCTTTCCCTGGTTTCCAAGAGATCACCTACATTGAGCCTTAAAAGATACATGTGATTTTGGGGACACCTATGAGGTGTAGTGTGGGAGTTAGGTTACCCCCTTCTTATCAGGTAATCAATCCAGTTAAATGGACTTTTGAGAAAATTTCCACATTTGGAATGAGCATAGATATTAAAATATGTATTAGAGAGTTATTGGGGGGAGCATGGAGACATACAAATAAAACTTCGGAAGAAAACAGGTAGTTTAAGAAGCCAATTTGGGCCAGGTGCGGTTGCTCACACCGGTAATCCCAGCACTTGGGGAGGCCGAGGCGGGTGGATCACGAGGTCAAGAGATTGAGACCATCCTTGTCAATATGGTGAAACCCCATCTCTACTAAAAATACAAAAAAAAAATTAGGGGGGCATGGTGGCGTGTGCCTGTAATCCCAGCTACTCAGGAGGCCGAGGCAGGAGAATTCCTTGAACCCAGGAGGCGGAGGTTGCGGTAAGCCGAGATCGCGCCATTGCACTCCAGTCTGGGTAACAAGAGCGAAACTCAAGTCTCCAAAAAAAAAAAAATCCAATTTGATTAATAGATTTTGCCCTTCATCTCTATGTGTTTGTGTGTGTGTGTGTGTGCATGTGTGTGTGTGTGCACACAGTGCATGTTAAGTTCATGTGTGCTTCTTTATTTCCAAGGTTCAAATGGTTGTCCTGATCCTGATTTAGTATTGAAGTTTGGTCCTGTGGACAGCACATTAGGCTTTCTTCCCTGGCACATCAGATTGACTGAGATTGTGTAAGTAATTAAAAGTGTACCGACTTTATTTCGATTCAGCAAGTATTTCTTGAGCTCAGCACTGTACTAGATCTGGTGGGGATTTCCAAAGAATTATAATATTGGATCATTTACCTCAGTTATTTCACAGTACCACTGGTAAAATAAAGTCATACATAAATGAGTTAGACACAAAAGCGCATATAGTTGTGCAGATGTTTGGTATTGCCACTGATTATCTTAAAAGATCAGGAGTGAGAGGTAATTGTAAAAGGTGTGGCTTGATCTGATGATAAATAAAATGGTTTCCATATTTAGAGAAAAGGTGAGGCACGGGGTGTGGGGAGAAAACCTGGGGGTGTGTTTTAAAGAAATAAGAGCAGACAGTGTCAGCCAGTAGTATGAGATGAAATCAAATAGTTCCCAGGTGTCAAGGCTCAGAATCTTTAAATGCCAGCATAAGGAATGTGTATAGTGGTAGGCAGGCAATAGGAAGACCTGTTGAGCCTGCATATAATGTGGGAATGGTGATTTTGAAAGATTTGTTTAGCAGCTTATGCACTAGACTGGATTGGATTTGGGAAAGGATGAGATAAAAAGACAAATGAAGAGGCTATAACTATAATTTAAGGGAGACAACATGGAAAATAATGAAATTCTCTTATTTAGAACATAGGCAAACTTTTTCTGTCAAGTGCCAGATAGTAAATATTTTAGGCTTTGCAGTCACTTAAAAGTGTTCCTCTCTATTGCAGTTACACATAACTATAGTTATACATAGCTATGTGTAGCTGCAATAGAGAGGAACAGTTAAAAGTGCTCTTCTGTTTAGCTATATCTTAAAAGATACCAATTATCTTTTAAGATAATTAATGGCAGTTATCTGCTGGAATAGCTAAACAACCATGGATGATATGTAAACAAGGGTCATGATCATGTTCTGATAAAACTTTATTTACAGAATCAAGTATCAGACTCCTGGGCTGTATTTGCTGAACCCTGATTTAGAACAAAGGAGAGACATAGTAGCCTTAAAATATATTTAAATTCTGGGTCTTAGAAGGAGAATATTACAAATTCTCTCTCTCATGACAAGTATTTACCAACTATAATTGCAGGCCTAGCACTTTACTAATTGTAATAAAGTTAGAGAAGAGATGAAATGTCTCCTAAGTTTTTAAGCTTAAGTGACTAAGTAGTTAGGATACTGAGAGGAAAACAGAAAGTGAAGGTAATTTTCATTTTTGAGGGGAAGATGCAGATGATTTTGAGGCCATAGTCTATTTGGATGCATATGCTTAGTGTAGGACAGATAAGGATGTAGAATTGATGCTTTGAGTGAGAAGTCAAGGCTAAAGATGTATGTTTGGGTATCATCATAACCTAGGAAGTATTTGAACCTATGAGAATATAGAGTATCTCTCCAGAATGTATGAAAGGGGTCATTTAAGCTTGGGGGCAGGAGGAACAAAGTATGAAAAAGAGAAGAGAACAGGTAGCATGTTAGAGTTGGAAAGAACTCTAAATCATCTGGTCCTACCTTCTCATTTTATAGGTAAGGAAAACAGGAAAGAGACATTGTTCAGGCTTGTCACAAAGTGAGTTAGAACCCAGATCTCCAGACTCAGAGTTTCTTTATGGTGGGTGTAAGTTTCTCTTATATGGTTTTCTCCAATGGTTTTCAAGTCATTTCAGGTGGTCTCCAAGTATGGCAGCAGTGATGCTGTGTACAGTTGGGAGTGATTTGGAAGGAAGAACAGATAGATTTTGGTTTGAATCTTGACAATGCAGCACAATAACGTGACTTTGGAAAGTTATTTAAACTTCTGTATATTTGTACAAAGGGCATGATAATGTGGAGTTGAGGATTTAAATTTGATAATAGAGAAGATACGAAGCAAATAACAGGCTCTTCCTTTAACCTATGTACATGTCTGTGATAGCTATATCATATTATGCTGAGGTTTGCTTTGTATTTGTGTACCCTCTGTGAGACTGAGCACTGTGATGGCAGGGAAAATGTTTTAATAATGATATAGGGAGAAGAAGGGCGGGACTCTGACATAACAGACTGATAAATCGCAACAGAGCTTCTGAGGCACTGAGGGGTAGTGGCACTCTGTTTATTGAAGAGCTATAGGAGATGAGGATGTTGATTGAAGGGGTAAGAGCAGGAAGACTTAGGAAAGTGGAGAGTTGGAGGACATTTGAAGCAAGCTTTAGCAAGAAGAATGCATTAAATGTGTTCTTTGAACATGTTATTTCAGTGGCATGAATAAGACGTAAGGTGATAGCAGAGATTATTAAGAGATGATGAGGTGACTTGTTTCAGAATTTTTGGCAGTCATAGGAAGGATAAAGAAAAGTGTAGCTAAAGAGAACCACAGAGTCAGGCAGGAGTCCTTTCATGGTAGGTTTGTTCAGTCTTTTTTTTTGTGCTGTACGTGACTGTCAGACTCAGAATGTGACTCTTCTATTCTGACCAGGTGTTTGACCCTGATACAGTTTAGAATTCCCGGGCCTCATTATAAAGCTGTATAAATTACAGATGTTTTTCATGTTACTTATTGAAAATTAATAATTGCTTATAATTCATAAAGGGAACCTTCTGATTGTACATTCAGCCTATCTTTAAAGTGCTTATTTTCACACTGTAATTACCCTTGAGTAATTGGAAATGGTGGAGGTAAGTGATTTATAGGTTGCTCACAACATGGCTACAATATATCATCATGTTTGGATGCTGTGTTGCTCTGCCCAACATTAAGCCTGACTTTCCTAAACTAAGTAGTACTGGCTTAACTCTGACCAAAAGGAGTTCTTAAAGTGGATTTAAATGAGATCCTTTATACATAGATCTCCACCTTTGTATTAATCTAAGCTTATGGTTTAACAAGTTAAGAATCTCTCATTACTTGTTGCTTTTCTCTTGTAGAAAAAGCATATTAGTTTTTTACTTGAACTCTTTAAAAATGAGCTGAACAATCTTAGTAGAAGTGGCTTGGCATATTCTGCTTATAATTTACCTTCAGAGCAGGAGGGAATACCTATCTTCAATAAACACTTGTCAATAAACAGCAAGTGCCACTACTCTTCAGTGCCTCAGAGGCTCTCTGCTATTTCCCTGTCTGTTCTGTCAGGGCTCCATCCTTCCAGTCTCCATACTATGATTAAGACATTTTCTTGCCTGTCTTGGTGCTGTCTGGTAGAGGACAATTTGGTGTATTCTATTCTTAACCTCTTTTTTTGTCCTTATCTTCTGGTTCTCTCCTACATTACATACAGTGTATATCTAATTGCTTTTTTCCCCCATGTTTTCTTTTCAGCTCTTTGCCTTCCCACCTAAACATCAGTTATGAGGACTTTTTCTCTGCCCTTCGTCAATATGCAGCCTGTGAACAGCGGCTGGGAAAGTAGTGGTCATAGGTTGCATAATTTGATTTTAGGGTTATGGAGGAAAGGATCCAAGTGACTCTGATGTTTACAAAGCACCCCCTACACACCTAGTTCATAATCCTCATAATTTATCAGCAAATACAAAAAAGTGTCTTACTTGAGATTGAGTGTGTGTGTGTGTGTGTGCGCGTGTGCACGTGCACACATGTGCACGTTTGTATGTGTGGAAATAAACTTATAAATGGGGATGTATTAGAGAAGGAAATACATACACCTACAACTTTGAGCAGATAGCAGCGATGTTTTAGGAACTGGAATGTCACACTTAACATCTTCAGCCCCAGCTACTTCCCTGTTTTTGTGGGGAGTAGAGGGCCTGATAGAACTTTTCAGGTTGTGTTTGATGGGAGGGGAATAATTTTTGTTCAGTCCTTCTTAGTGACCAAACTTTAATTTTTAAGAATAATATATTGACTTACTGAATTGAAGCATTCTGAGTTTAAAGGAGCTCCAGAGGAATGGAGTTTTGTGTTGCTCTTGTGTTAAAAGCTTGCTCACCTTCAGAGAGAGCAGAGGGAATACCTATCTTCATATATCCGTCCATTTTCATCTCTTTATTACAGTCACAGTGTGACTTGAGAGTGTTGCTCTGGTGTCTGTATTCTGGGTTATGAAACTCTTACTGCATTGAAATATAGACTTTAAAAAATTTAAATATTGGTAGGCAGTCAAAAAAAGCAAACAAGCATAAAAGGTGAATATGTTGTAATCTTAAAAGATGGAGAACTCATTTAAAAAGGAAAGAAGGTTTTGATTTCCTTTTTTGTTTGATGGGCAGCATGCTGTATCATACCCAAAGTTGGTTTAAAAAGTATTTCCATCAACTATTTTTATTTAAAATAAACATTTGAGGGAAGTTACTAAGGCAGCTTTTTTCCTCAAAAGTAACCTGGTTACTCTTTGGAATAGCACATTTTAGGGCCATGGTTAATACCTGAGACTTTTACTCAGTAAGTCCTGATGATTACTGTGTATAAAAGGATTGAAGGCCTGTGTGGGGAATAAAATATTACCAAAGTCTATCAAAATAAATTTTACATGTTCTCTTTTATGACAGAGAGCAGCACTGGTTCTGTTATTTTTAAAATGAATAATTGATTTCTTTTTTTTTTTTTTTGAGACAGAGTTTCGCTCTTGTTACCCAGGCTGGAGTGCAGTGGCGCGATCTCGGCTCACCGCAACCTCTGCCCCCTGGGTTCAGGCAATTCTCCTGCCTCAGCCTCCTGAGTAGCTGGGATTACAGGCACGCGCCACCGTGCCCAGCTAATTTTTTGTAATTTTTAGTAGAGACAGGGTTTCACCATGTTGACCAGGATGGTCTCGATCTGTTGACCTCGTGATCCACCCGCCTTGGCCTCCCAAAGTGCTGGGATTACAGGCTTGAGCCACTGCGAATAATTGATTTCTTGATATGTGTCTAATATTTCTTCCCTCACTGCTGATTCTTAGATAGAAACCATTCTTTATATTTGATAGACTGTTTTCAGAAAACCCTTATCAACAAGTGTATAGTAGTTTTCTAAAACCTTACATTTAGAATGGAGCAGTTTAATACTAGATCTCAGAAGTTTGAAAATAGCAAAGAAGATTGGATTTGAAAAGCATGGTCTACAATTCCTTGTAAAATTCTGAAGCTATGAAGGATAAATGTTTCAACGCTGGATTATGAAACCCCATTTATGATTTTTAAAATACACTTGAAATAAAAATGATTAAACTAAATTTTGGTCCAGTGACATTACTTTGCACTGCATCGTCCATTATACATTGTGTAAGACTTTGTTTCTGTTTTAATTTATTACTGAGAGTTTTGTGTGAAGCTACAGCATATCTAATTAGAGAATTTGTTTGCTTATACTGTATACTGTGATTTATGTTATATTGAGGCATTTCTAGTGCAGCTTGAGACTGAATTTATGCGTTTTATAAACATGATAGGTATAAATGTCTTATAAACATTCTGGAGTATGTATAGCTTTAATGAATGAAATGTAATGGACCTGATAAAAATGAAGGTTTTTAATCTTTGTTAAAGGGAAGTTAGTCAAATATATTACCTACTGGAATATAGCCCAAGCCACTAAAGGTTCAATATTTGCGTTTTTGTACTTTTATTTTCTCATTCCATTCATAAGTATATACTTGAAAGTACATCTGTAGCCTGTGACTTCGGTTTCTTCAAGTTCTAGGAAGAGACCCTTACCACAAACTACTAGGATTCTGATTTCAATTATAGGCATTCCAGAACCTTCTCTTTATGAGTTCGCCTGCTAGTACAGTCTCTACAGCTTGAATGCCATTGGTTGTTCTATACTTCCTGCCAAAATCATCACAAGTTGTACATCATCAAGGCTCCCTTTCCACTCCCAAGAAAAACTGATAATTTTAAACAAAAGTATGTGTCTTTATTTATATTGGAATATACTGTCTTTAAATTGTTTCTTCTTGACAATCTCCACAATGAAAATATTATACCAAATTAAACCTATTTTATGTATGGCAGCTTGGAGCATAGCAGGAAGTTAGATGATTTGAATTCCATTCCCAGTTCTCATTGTGTTTTGTTTCTTAAAACTATAATAATTGGTTACTGTTACAAAGTTTAAAAGGTGGTTTTAATGTGAATTGCAAATTCTGGTATATTGTGACTGATGCTTAAGAATGCCTGTCTTTGAGAGGAAGGTGTTATAATATTAATGAACAGTGCCAAATACACTGTGCATATCTATAATTTATTCTTTGAATGTATGTTACTGGATTAGCTCCCGCTTCTGTGTGATGGTACCATGCATAGAGTCAATCAAATCCTTGTGATGTTTTGTATGGACTTTGACAACATGTAAATAATGTGTAAAGCAAGTTTTTATGATTAAGGAATCAAATTTATTGAATTTTATTATTGAAAGTTGAAACTTAATATGTATGAACAAAAATCAATAAAAGAATATACTCTTTTCATGGACCTATAGTATTATGTGAATGCTACATTTATTCTGAACACTTAGGGGCTGCAAAAATGTAATAAGAAATGCATATGATTAGATAGCAATACTGTTTTTTTAAGATGGTATGCTCTTGATTGAAATAAATTATCACTTTTACCAGGTTAAACATATTAGAAATCTTATAATGTTACTTGTTTTTTGATAGATAATAGTGAAATAAATTCAACTTTACCATTGCTAGAGTTGTCAAAATTCCACAGTAATTAAAATTTGAATTTTCACCAAATATGGAATTTCCAAATTGAAAATGTATATGTGTACCCTTTTAAAAAGGAATTTGATAGTTCTTGTGAAATGAGGAGATTTAAAGGTCAGAGTTATGATTTGTCTTATGCTGCATAAACTGTTCACCTCCTAACTTGAAGGTCTAATTGTAAGACAGTTGTTTTTTGGTGCATAGTTTTTATCTGAAAAGGTAAATAACTGGTTACTAGGAACTGCCTTTAGCAAAAATTAGTGTAGTAAAAGTTCAGGACAGTTTGAAATAAAACCCAGGAAACAAGATTAATGTGAGCAGTTTGCCAAGGTCCTAACAGGTAGGACACAAACTATGCTAAAAGGGGTAGGAAAAGGTAGTGCAAAAAGAATTTCTTAAGCTTTAAAAAATACACTTTCATTATAGGAAAAAGAGGATTCAGAGAAACAAAGGAATGTAACCTTATTGATTACATTTTTGGTGATCGCCCAGAATTTTTTGTACTTATATTTTAAAAAATGTATTCTGTAACAGGTTAATAAAGAATTTTTTTTTAACTATAAACTAGAAATTGAGAGTCTTGCTTTCTGTTTTGTATTTGATTATTGTGTCTGGTTATAAATTACATCAGCACGTGAAAATAAAATGTTTTTAAAAATTATAGTCCACATTCAGTTATTCATTATTAATATTTAATGTTAGTCCAAATTCTTCAAATAATTTTATGCTCAGCTCTCCATCATCTAGTGATTCAGGGACTGTAAGTTAATTTTAGCATAACATATCCAGATGATTGCAACAAATAAAATTAAATGTACTCTGAGATCAAACTATTTGCAATATCTGCTATTGACTGTTTCTATCCCCTTTCATTGCTATTAATAATTTAAGTTGCTGTTATGAAGACAAGAAAAAATCTGCTTGGAAAAGGCAATTCTTGAAAAAAAAATTTCAGAATGTGGATAAACACTAACAGCATAGTTCTATATTTATATAGAGTAATATTTCCATTCTGATAAAGATTTATTTCAATTGGTATATCTTACGGATTTGGTTCTATGAATGCTTTATTTTAATAAATGTGTATTTTTCAGTTTTAATTACCAGTAACAGCTATACTTAATAACTGCCTTAAATTATTTATTTATTTAGAGATGTACTCTCACTATACTGCTCGGGCTAGGCTTGAACTCAGGCTCAAGTAATCCTCCCTCTTCAGCTTCATGAGTAGCTGGGCTGACAGGTTGTGTGCCACCAGGCCAAGCAAATATGTTATTTTTACATGAAATAGAAGTAGTTGTAGGCAATGATAACAATAACCAATTGTTGTCACCATATATTTCAATTGGATTTCAAACAATTAGAAAATGGGACATCAAGAAAAATGTGGAAGCTACTTACCTGGGGATGTTTGACATGGCATTCATTTATGTAGTGCAGTGTTTCTCAACTGGAGTGATTTTGCCTCCCAGAGGACATTTGACTACTAGAGACATTATTGTCACAACTCAGAGGGGAGGTATACTAGTGGTATCTAGTGGGATGAGGCCAAGGATGCTGCTAAACATGCTGCCATTCACAGGACAGCCCTTTCAACAAAGAATTAGCCTCAAATGTCGGTAGTGCCAAGTCTCAGAATCTTTGGTCTAGTTTGATTTCTGTAGTTTTATCACTTAATTTTTGGGAGGTGGGGTGGTACAGGATGTTGCCTAAAATATCCTATAGGTTAATTTTTTAAAACATCAGATTTATTTAGAATTCATTCTAGATCCTAGAGATAAATTATATGGGCATATTTTAATTGTATGAAATAATATATTAACATTTTCCCACTCATTAATTTTGTTCATTATGTTCACATTTATCTTTGACATTTGACCTACCAGTTTTCCAAAGTCTGTCAGTTTCTTGTCTTAATTTTACTAGAAAGAAAATGTAGTTTTATTAGCAAGAAAAGATAATATTTTATCCATGTACAAAGTTATGAGAAATCCCATGCTTCAAATTACCCATTGTATTTATAAACATTACATTAGCAGTTTCTCCCATTCATTCTGTAGGTAATTGTGATTTCTACGGTTTAATCACTTACATTGTTCTTAAAAATGATTTTTTTTTTTGAGACAAGGTCTCACTCTGTCACCCAGGCTGCAGTGCAGTGGCGCAATCTCTTACCTCCAGGCTCCCATCTCAGCCTGCTGAGTAGCTGGGACCATAGATGCACATCACCACACCTGGCTATTTTTTATTTTCGGAAGAGAAAGGGTCTTGCCATGTTGCCCAAGCTGGTCTTGAACTCTTGAGCTCAAGCAATCTGCCTGCCTCAGCTTTCCAAAGTGTTGGGATTACAGGCATGAGCCACTGCACCTGGCCAAAAATGATTTCTAAAATGCGTATTTGTAACACATCCAGGGCTTGTTTTTGAGGTCACATCTCCAAGAATAATGACTAAATAACTGTTAAATTTCTTTGCCTCTTTTTTAATTCATCTGGTGGTCTTTTTTTAGCCTTCTCAAAGTGCAACATTGATTGAGGTGGTTTCAACCTTATGTGATTTCCAAAAATAAGTAATCAGAGTGTTCTTTATGAAAGGATTTTGCTTGCCCTGGAGTAAGATGACTTTTCTAGGGGATAATTAGAGGGAATTAAACCTGCTTTTGTTCAGGTACCTATGAGATGTAAATGTATATGAGAAATTGTCCTTATAACTCTGTCATTGACTTTGGAGTGCACACCAAATGTAAATAATCCAGGAGATTAATAGGAATGAACAGAAAATCTCCCGGCAAATGATTTCATTAAATATTAATTTATGAGTTACTTGGAAACTGAAAGCTATCTGTACATGAGTATGGAGTATGGAGAATACCAAACTGGTTACAGATTCAAACCCTATCAGATGTACTATAAGGTATCTGATGCCTATTAGATGTTAAGACCAGCTATAATGCTCATAGCATATCAGTTGGTGATGCCTTTAATTATTTTAAAGGAAAGAATCAGTTTCTCTACTGCCTACTCTTCAGAGCACTGGAAGAAAAAGCAAAGTTAACAAAATGAGCCTGTGTGCGTCTGAATATGGATTTTGGTAAATTTAAAAGGAGAAATAAGTATTACATGTAAAACAGTACTACTTAGCTACTAAACTGGAGATTATGTCCAAGAATTGTCTATTTTTTAAAAATCTAATGTCCAAAAATGATGAACTTAGCTCTTGGTAGTTAGGCATGCTGTGGAAGCCTTCTCTAACTTGCGTTTTTTTCCTATTCCCACATTCCCTGCTCTGTGTGAGGGGGAAAAAAGTTTATTCCTTTTATTCCTTATCACAAGTAATAAGTAAGTTTACTCCTATCACAAGGAATCTTCACATTGTACCTTTGATACCATTTCTTCCACTTTTCAGGTTTCTTTTTTTCCCCCTTCCTGTTTCTGTTCTGTATTCTCCCCCTCAGCTACAGGCAGATTCAGGTTTTTAACCTAATACCTTAAGTCATTAGGTTACATCAAACTAAAAACCTTTTCCCTCCACTGTTAACTGTCCTGAGAACCTTTACCTGTTTCCTTGTTTCCTCAAGATTCCTGATCTTAGGGAAAACCCTAAGATACTTGGCTACCATTCTGCTTATAAACATAATTTAAAATGTTAATGCTTATTTTCTTAAACCTAATTTCTCTTTACACCAGTCTTATTTTACTGGGTACTTTAGGAATATACAGTAATAGATTATGATGGTATAGTAGGTTCAGTAATGGTCATCCGGACATCAAGTCCTAATCCCTAGAATTTGTAAACGTTACCTAATATTGGAAAAGGGGTCTTTGCAGATCTAATTAATGGTCTTGAGGAAAGGGGACTACTCTGGATTTTCTGGGAAGGCCCTAAGTACCATCACAAATGGTCTTAAAAGAGACAAACAGATGAGGAGGAGGCCGTGTGACTGTGAGGCAGAGACTGGAGTGATGCAGCCACAAGCCAAAGAATAACTAATGGCATCAGTAGCTGGAAGAAGCCAGAAATAGATTGTCACCTAGAGTCTTAGGAAGGAATGTGGCCCTGTTAATTCAAAGTTCAGGCCTCCAGAACTGTGAGAGAATAAATTTTTGTTGTTTTAAGTCACCAATTTTGTCACAATTTCTTACAACAGTCACAGGAAACTAATACAGGTGGAAAAAATAGCAGTTACTTAGGTGATCATTAAAATTGCTATTGTGATAGAAAATAGCCTGACTGGTTAGAGTGTGTGTGTGTGTGTGTGTGTGAAAAATTTACAGATAACCATTATGCTTTACTATGTAATTATTTTGCAGCCTGTTGCTGTTTGTCTGCATACTCTGAATTGCTTCAAATTATTGTGCTGTATAGACTTTTTGAGGCTCAATTTGGATTTCTGAGATAAATGAGGTATGGATTACCCTCAAATTACTGAACTGCAGTCACTTGGTAAACCTTACTTTTCAAACAACTAGTAATAAGATGGATGCCAGACCCATGTTACTGTGTCAAACAATTCAAAGGTGTAGTGGACAATCAGTGTTTGGATGGCTGTCCGTCCTCCAAATATTCCCTCCTATTTGGGATAGTCCACCATTGGTATACTCTTCATGGAAGATAGGATACTACCCCTAAATCTAGTAGCTAAAATGTTTTTCTTTTCCTCTTCTATCTCCTGGAGCCAGGAATTGGTCATGGGATCAGGGTTCAGTTAATTTCAAACACTCCCACCCAGAACTTTGCATCTTTAGTGACTAACTTATGCATTGG